AGTTTTATTTGCTTATATTATTAGAAGCATTTTATATGTATGTATTTGGTTGTAGCAATTTTTAAATTGCTTGTAAGTTTGGAACTTGGTTTGGTTTTCTGGAATAGAAACCAAAGTGTTTAGCCTTGGCTAAAGAGTAGTTCTTATTTGTTCAAAAATGACAACTAAAACGGATTTAGTTTCAAACTTTTGGAGTTTGAGGAAGTCTTTGGTTTAATCATTTTATTCCCAAAGTGTTGGAAAACCATGTTTGGAGAGTCTTTGGTTATAATTTGATTATGTCCAAAGTGGTTTGGTTTTTGAGAAAGGAAACTAAATTTTAGCATTAGCTAAAATATCTCTGATTTTTATTCAAAAAATCGGTTAACTTTTATGAGTGGTGTAATTCTGGTAGCAAATTTATTTGCTTGGGAATTGGTTTGTTATAACCTATAACCTGGTTTATCCCTTGGAAATCTTAATTTTAAAATTGTTTCCTATGGACTAGGAGTCAACATGCTCTTGAATGCTTTGTCAAAAGGTTAACTGGGTTTTAAGTGGGACCGATGTGATCCCTCCAGTCTTCCTAGGAACATTCCTGACCATGTTCGATTCTAGGTTAAATGGTTAGATTAGTTTTGAATTAAATTTCCATTTGAGGGATTTTCTAAGGGTTAAGTTTAATTTCTAGAATCACAGAAGTGAAATTCTGTTGTGATTTTTCAAACATGGCTTCAAGCGGTGACAACAGAAATGTTGTTCGACCTGACAACGTTAAGCCTTACGAGATTCTTAAAAGAAGATCTAGAGAGATCAAGTATGATTAAAGGAAATCATAAGATTACATGATAACATTTCTGAATTAATCAGAGGCAATTAGTATGTTATCCTTGTGTCAATTATAGCATATATGATTGCTATGTGACTTTGCTTGAAAGCAAAGATGAGACAACCAATTAGGGTGGGTGAATATATTTTTGAATTTTTAAATTCCAAATATACTCTTAAATTGGTGGCTCCTACATTGGATTTGTGTTTCCTAATAGTAAGACTATTGGCTTCAGAGTGATAGGTTGGACCAAATATATTTGGGTAACTAATTCGGTTGATGACATTCTGGGAATGTATTTACTGTGATATGATTTTGAGAGTTTCATAATCATTGTGACACAAGGAATTGTTTAAAGACCTTGTATGAATTTTCGGAAAAAAGGCCAAAAGCCTTTGTATAAATTCTACAAATGTGGGGGTGTCATGCAAAAGGCGGGAATACCTAAACCTAAGAGGGTTAGGATAAGCCTAAAAATCCGTTGACTTTGTATTCAACGGTTATGCACAATATAGCAGTGCATATCGATTTCTTGTGGTTCAATCTGCTATTTCAGATATACACAAGAATACTATCATGGAATCAAGAAATGCATCTTTCTTTGAAAATGTATTCCGAGTTCCATGTAAGAGGTTGAAGGTGACAATGATTACATAGCTAATCAAACAAATGATCACTTGCGTAATCAAGTTGATGATCAAGCTGAAGATGTAGATGAGCTAAGGACTGCAAAGTCCTTTGGTCCGGATTTTTTGACTTATATGTTAGAGGGAGAACCTCGAACTTTCCATGAAGCTGTGACTTCACCTGAAAGTCCTTTGTAGAAAGAAGCAATTAAGAGTGAGATTGACTCCATCTTGCAGAATCATACTTGGGAGTTGGTTGATCTACTCCTAGACAGTAAGGCCTTGGAGAGTAAGTGGATCTTTAAAAGAAAGATGAAAGCTGATGGGTCAATTGATAAGTATAAAGCTAGGTTAATTATCAAAGGATAGAAGCAGAGAGAACGTTTGGATTACTTTGATATGTATTCACCTGTGACAAGGATTACATCCATTCGCATGGTGATTGCGATAGCAACGCTACGTGGTCTAGAGATACATCAGATGGACGTAAAGACAACTTTCTTAAATGGAGATTTGAATGAAGAAATCTACATGGAACAACCGGAGGGTTTTTCAGCTCCAGGACATGAAAAGTTTGATAATGCTATGTTGTCAAATAGATTTAGAATCAATGAGTGTGACAAATACGTATATGTTAAAGACACTGATAGTGGTTATGTCATTTTGTGTCTATACGTTGATGACTTACTCATTGTTGGTAGTAATGATGAGATGATTAAAACTACCAAGAGATTGTTAAACTCTAAGTTTGACATGAAAGATATGGGTCTTGTAGATATTATTCTAGGTATTAAGATTACCAGAACATCTAGTGAAATTGTACTTTTTCTGTCTCACTAAGTTGAGAAAATACTTGAGAAACTTAGTAAATTAAATACAAGTGTGTCTAAGACACCGGTAGACGTGAGTCTACACTTGACCAAGAATATTGGTAAGAGTGTCTCTCAGCTAGAATATTCTTGGGTCATTAGCAGTTTGATGTATTTGATGGGGTTGAGGCCTTTGGAAGTTACCGGAATGGAAACCCAACCTAGTTGACTGGAGATCCCAAGATTTAGGTTCAATGGGACACCCTAATTGCGTGTAACGGTGGTATGTCATTGAGGAGGTTAAACCTCCAGCCATTCCTTCTATCAGTGATACCTGCAAGTGTAGAGGTTAAGCTGAGTTTTTAATGACTCTAGTGTGTTAAGCTGTTGAGCTAAGTATAGCAGGATACTCAAGTAGAGTCACCTATGTGAGTGTGAAGTGGGGTCGTTTCTAGAAGAATTGGGCAGGCCAAGATTCTTTGAAACCACTTGCTAAACCAGGCTGGTGTCCAGGGCCATACAGGGCACACCAGTGAGAACAGAATGCTGGTAGGAGTAATTCCCGTGTGAGATCTATTGTCTCAGTTTACATAAATGGCAGAGCAGTTCAAAATGTCATATTCACTGATCAGCCAGTAAACTCGATAGGTTTTCACCGGGAGAGGTTCAAAGCCAAAAGCTACCTTCTCTGATGTCGGGGTTAGTTCGTTGTATTCTCTCTCCGAGTCTATTGTTGAACGGTATCCGTTTGTTGAGTCATTCGGTCAATTTTTATTCATGTGCGGGATTGTTGGAAAAAAAATAGTTTTTTGGTGACTTTAATTAAATATTAAAGTGGGTCCCAACCATCTATTGAGTTGGGTCTAAGTGGGTCTAGATACTTTGTAATGAGATCTTTACATCACAAATAGAATGACAAAAAACCATTGAGATTTGAATGAGAAATTGCCTCATGAAGTTAGCTTCATGAAAGAGGTAATGGGGTTTGTAACTTCTGGCTTTATTACAGAGTTGAATAGAGCATTAATGAGATTTGTAACTCCTGCATTAATGGGGTTTGTAACTTCTGCCTTTATTGCAGAGGTTAATGGTGCATTAATGACCAGCTATAAAGGCTGGAGGCTTCTCTTCTCTCCCCCATACATGTATAAATTGAGACCCTCCTGTTAAGTCTAAAACACAGAAATTGTTTTTTCCATTTTTTAGTCAGTTTGCTAGAAATTTCTACAGTGAGAGAGTACTGCCACTGTTTTGTTCGCTAAGCTAGACAGAGAGTGCTTCTGCCGTAGCTGGTTTTGACCATCGTATCCTGGGAGACAGACGCCGAGATTCCTCAAGCACTCGACCCGTGAGGCGGCAAAATATGTTTTAAGGAAACTACTACCGTGCAGGCTTCGGTTTGGTTTCTTTACTATTTTATTGTTTTGTATTTTTCTGTTGAAATTTAATTGTAATTATCAGCATGTGTTCTTAGTATATATTTAATTTTGTTTTCTTCATAAATCTATTTATTAATTTCACAAGATGAACAACAAGCTTAAAACAGATTTATATATATTTTCTATGAAATTGATCGAATAGATTTATATAGACAATTGTATAATGTTATTAGGAACTGTTGCGGAATTGCTCCCTATTTCAATGATTGTAAATTATGCAATGTGATTCTCTAATTGCTTAATTTAATTAGAATGCTCTATCATAATTTGTATACTTAATTGTATTAATCTGATCTTATTTTATGCGTATGGTTCATCATTCCCCTTCTATGATTTGCATGAATTTTAA